TATTTCATATTAATATTCTTATAATATTCTTATTAATAATATTAATAATATTCTTATTAATATTGAATTTTCGATTATATAATTAAACTATTTTATATCTCTTTTTATTAAGTTATTATTTCTTATACCCTTTTAAATTTAAGCTTTTTTAAAACAAATATAAAATAATAAATTCGAAAGATAATTTAAATTTGTTTTCGAAATCCAATATATAAATGAAAATAAACTTTAGGTTATTAAAAAGTTTTATTTAATTTATTATTTTTTATTTAATTAAAAATAGTAATTAAATTTACTTATTTTGTAGGTTATTATTCTCTTGTTTTCGAAATTACTATATCTTTTTTTTAATCTTATTAATTTTAAGCTTTAAGATTAGTTTTATATTTTAATTAATATTGAAGATATTGAGAATTTGTTTTCATATATAAATGATTCAATTAAATCTCTATTTATTACTTTTTTCAAATTTTTGAAAAGTCTAAAATTGAAGGGTAAAAAAATGGTAATCAAATTCATTTATTTTGTAGATCATTATTATTTTATTTTCGAAAATTATTATAGTTTTTTTTTCAACCTTATTAATCTTAAGCTTTAAAGTTAGCTTTATAATTCAATTAATATTGAAGATATCAAAAATTTGATCTTATATATAAATAATTCAATTAAATCTCTATTTACTTCTTTTTTTAAATTTTTGAAAAGCTTAAAATTGAAAAGTGTTACGGGAGCTGCCTCTAGGGTCACGTGGAAGTGTCTAGAGATCTCTCGAGGTGGTTTAGACTAGACTTCAAGTAGGAATTCAATAAGGTTGTAACTGGTTGCAATTCTCGTAACTATAGTATGAAACTAATGATTGATCTTGAGCACGAAGCTCTATATTGTAATGAAATCCCATTCCCTTATATAGACCTTCGTACTGTACTGGAGCGTTCAGGACCTAGAGAGGTCCTGGACCTTTGGTCTGTATGGACCTACATTCCGTTATGCCTGTCATGCAGGGTCCATCACGTGCTAAGAGTCATGTGACGCGGTACCGAGGATGGACCGGCGTAACAAAAAGTAAGGAGGTGATAATTAAATTCATTTATTTTGTAGGTCATTATCCTTTTATTTTCAAAAACTATTATAGCTTTTCTTTAACCTTATTAACCCTAAGCTTTAAAATTAATAATATAGATTAATTAATATTAAAAACATCAAAAATCTAATCTTATATATAAATAATTCAATTAAATCTTTACTCACTTTTTTTTTAAATTATTGAAAAGTCTAAAATTGAAGAATAAAAAGCTGGTAACTAAATTCATTTATTTTGTAGATTATTATTCTTTTATTTTCAAAAACTATTATAGCTTTTCTTTAATCTTATTAATCTTAAGCTTTAAAGTTAATAATATAGATTAATCAATACTGAAAATATCAAAATTCTAATTTTATATATAAATAATTCAATTAAATCTTTATTTACTTCTTTTTTCAAATTCTTAAAAAGCTTAAAATTAAAGGGTAAAAAGGTAATAATTAAATAATAAATTTTTGTTTAAATTACTATTATTTTTAAAGTTATGATTATTATTTTCTTGTTTTCGAAAATTATTATAACTTTTCTTCAACCTTATTAATCCTAAGCTTTAGGGTTAGTAATACAGATCAATCAATATTAAGGATATTAAAAATTTAATTTCATATATAAATAATTCAATTAAATCTTTATTCATTTCTTTTTTTAAATTTTTGAAAAGCTGAAAATTGAAGGATAAAGAGATAACAACCAAATAATGACTTTTTAACTGGGTCACCACCCCCCTTAGAGTTATAGTCATTATTGGTGCTGACCATTAAAAAAATCTATGGAATAATAGTTAGATCAATTAATATTAAAGATATTTGAAATCTAATTTTATATATAAATAATTCAATTAAATCTTTATTTATTTCTTTTTTCAGATTTTTAAAACCCTTAAAATTGAAGTTAGAAAGAGTAGTGATTAATTAAAGGGTTTTTAATTAAGTTATTATTTTCTTTAAAGTTATAATTATTATTAATATTAATTATTAAAAAAGTTTATAAAATAATAATTAAGATTGTTTTATGGACTTTTATTTATTTTCCTTTTTTTTTTATAAAAATCTATCTTTTTATATTAATCTTATTATAAATTATTAATTTTAATTTAATCTTTTTTTATTTTTTTTATTCATTTCATTTTTTTTTCTTTTTTTTTTCTTTTTTTTTTTCTTTTTTTTTTCTTTTGATTGTTATTATCATTTCTTTTTTAATTTTAACCTTATTTAAATCCTTTATTATATTATTTTAATTATTATAATTTTTTTAATTCTATTCTTTTTATTATTAATATTATTCTTTTCTATAAAACCTACTTTTGTTTTTATTTTATTTTACTTTTACTATAATTGAATAATTCTAATTCTTTATTTATTTAATTTATATTTATTCTTTATTTCTAATATTTATAATAATTCAATCTTTTCTTTATCAAAAACTTAATTTATTTTTTCAATTTTAATTTTATATTAATAACTTTAATCTTATTATTTATTAATTATCTTTATCAAATTTTATTTATTATTATAATTAATAACATTATCTTATTTCTTTGAAATTTAATAATAAGTTGTTGTTATTTCATTTCAATTTCGTTTTATAGTTTCTTTTTTATAATAACTTTTATTATTATATATTTTATTATCTTATTTATTTAAATATTAATTATTCTTTTTATAAAATCTTAATATTTCTATTATATAATAATCTATATATATATTTTTATTTATTATTTTTATTTATTATATTTATGAATTCTTTTTTTTTATAATAATAAAAACTTTTATTTAATTATTCAATAATTTTTTCTTAAAAACTATTTAATAGTCATTCTTCTTAAAATATAATAATAATAATAATAATAATAAAAATAAAAATAATAATAAAAATAAAAATAATAATAAAAATAATAATAATAATTATAATAAGAATAATAGTAAAAATAATAATAATTACCCTATATAGAATAATAACCTCTTTTCACTAATCACCACCCCCCTATCCTTATAAATCAAAGCTTTTTCAGAAGTAATACAAATCGATTAATTTAAAAGATAATTAGAATTTAATTTTAGAATTTAATAAATAAATAAAATTAAGCTCTAATTTATTATAGAATATGAATCAATTTTTTATTTTATATTAAATTAAAAATAATAACCAATTTCATTCATTTTGCTGGTTATTATTTCCTTTGTTTTTAAAAAATTATTCTAACTTTTCTTCAACCCTTTTAATCTCTTTAAAATTAAGGTTATTTCAATTTAATATAAGATTTTTAATTCAAAAGCTTTTTGAATTCTAATTTCGAATAAATATAATATAATAGATTCTCTTTTTATTTCTTTTTTTAAATTTCCTAAAAGTTTTAAACTGAAGTTAGGAAGAATAATAATTAATTAATCACTTTTAATACTTTTTTATAGATCACTATTCTCCTATTTTCCATAAATTATTATAACTTTTCAATAACCTTATCAAATCTAGCTTTTATTATAATCTTTACAAATCAATCAATATTAAAGATTTTAGAAATCTAATTTTATATATAGATAGTTCTATTGAATTTTTATTCATTTATTTTTTCAGAATTTTGAAAACCTTAAAATTAAAGCCAGAAAAGATGGTGATCAACTGATGACTTTTTAACTGAGTCATTACCACCCTATCGAAATGAGTTACTACCGGTAGTGACTACTAAAAAAATCCTTAGAATAATAGTTAGGGTTTTTAGGGTTATATATATTTAGAATCTTAAAAAAATTTAGGATTGAATAACGTTTTTATTTTTTTATTAGCGTTATTTGTTACTAAGTTATATTTTTAGAATTTTTATTAGTAATAATTAATATCTCATTTAATATTAGAGCTAGCTTATTAAAACCAACTTTTTTGAACTTTCTGAGAAAAACTGAATCGATTGATATAGTTTTAATCCGAATCAGACTTAGTTCGTTTTTGACTTAGAAAAATACGATTTTCTTTATTTTTATAAAAACTTAAATCTTATATAGAATTCTAAATATCAAAAAATTCAAAAAATCCAACTATTATTCTAATTAATATAATGATAAAATTAATTCCATTAATGAAAATGAGGAAAATTCGGTTAGTTTTTTGTGTATTTTATAATATTTACGCTGTCAACCTCCGTACGATATGTCCACTCGGACTTGCGGGAATAGAGGATAACTCCACCACCCCTGTGATTATACGGATTTCCGGAGCGCTCTGTATCACCCTTACCATTGTAAGTCATTTAATTCGTATGGTAGACCAACCACAACACCTAGGACACGTGAGATCCTGGGATGATATACCTAGGATCACTTAAATTCCGATGTGGGCTGTAACAGCAAAGCTCTAGACTTATCCACCTAATGCTACCTATACACGGAGTTCGAGGACTTTAATTCTACCGTAATTGATCCCATCAGACGGCGGGTATTGACCGCTTTGACATGCCGGATCGTCGTATTCCTGCAGTAACATTCGATGTTTTAGAAACTGGTGAGAGGGACTATGAACTTGTAAGTTACTTTCCTATCTTGAACTAGGTAATCGTTTACAAAGGAGTATACACGGCACGACAATGGAATTTACCGTCACCCCAACGCGAAGCACTGAGAGTACAGAAGTAAACCAAGAGATACCTGAAGGGTTTAAGTCTTGCCCTCTTGGAATATTTATAGCTTCTCATATCCGATAAAAATTTTGTTCTGTATCTGATTTAGACTTCACTTCGTTCATCTTCAATCTCCATTCATAGCTCAACCTCAAACAATATACTCATTTTACTTCGAACAAGTATTATAGATCGCATGACTAAGCCTCTACCCAAAGCAGATCAAACATTGAGCAAAAGCTCCTGCGACTACACTCTTACTTATCAAATTCTCAGTCACGAACGCGTACCATTTGCACCGCCAAGATGAGGCAGACAATTACTGTCGATTACCTTGTCATTGGTGCGGGTGCCATGGGAATGGCTTTTGTCGACACCCTGTTCACCGATGACAAGAAAGCAACGTTCGCTATTGTCGACCGCTACAACCGCCCAGGTGGTCACTGGACCAAGGCCTATCCTTTTGTCCGCCTTCACCAGCCATCTAACTTTTACGGCGTGAATTCCAGGGACCTTGGTGAGGACAAGATTGACATGGTTGGTTGGAACAGAGGCTTGGCCGAGCTCGCGACCAGTGACGAGATCCTGGCCTATTATACCCGGGTCCTAACACAGCGATTTCTACCATCTCACCGGGTCACCTACTATCCTTTGTGCGAGTATACTAGTGGCGGCGAGTTTTACTCTACTGTCACCGGGATGAAGTATTCTGTCGGAAACGAAACTCGGATTGTCGATGCCACTTTCATGCGCGTGAAGGTCCCCTCTATGAGCCCGCCTGTCTATAGTGTCGCGGACGATGTTAAACTTATCACGCCGAATGAGTTAGCTCAAGTCTCTCGACCTTACGGTAATTATACTGTTGTTGGTGCTGGCAAGACCGGCATTGATGCCTGCCTGTGGATGTTAAGCATGGGCATTGATCCGTCAAAAATTACATGGATTATGCCACGCGACTCGTGGTTATGGGATCGGAGTTCTGCTCAGCCCGCGAGATCATCTGTCCAGGTCCAGAAGACACAAGACCATTTTCAATCAGAAATCGAAGCGACCATGGCCGCCACATCGGTAGATGATTTGTTCAAACGGCTAGATGCATCCGGGGCCCTGTTGCGCGTTTCTAAGAACGACTGGCCCACCATGTTTCGCTGCGCTACAGTATCTTTTGCGGAATATGAGCAGATTAAGAAGGTCGAGAATATTATTCGCATGGGTCGGGTGAAACAGATTTCTGCGAATCAGGTGATTCTAGAACGCGGCGAACTCAGTCCTGTGCTCGATACACTCTATATCGACTGTACGGCTGATGGGCTCAAAGGATACGATCCAGTTCCTGTGTTCAACGGCAAACAAATCACTCTTCAGGCTGTCCGTGCTTGCCAACAAGTATTTAGTGCCGCCTTGATTGCCCATGTCGAGGCTGAGTTCGATAATGACGAAAAGAAGAATTCTCTCTGCCGCCCGATATCGCACCCTAGCAAATCTATTGACTGGCTTAGAACCAAGATTCAAGATCATGAGAATATGTCATTATGGAACGCTGAGCCAAAGATGGTCACCTGGCTGAGCGAATCCCGCCTCAATATGTTCAAGAACATCCGACCATCGCTGCCAGAGAATCAAGAGGAGCAGCGGCTCGCATTGCAAGCAATCGAAGAAAATGAGGTAGCATACATGAAAAAGATGCGAAAGCTTTATGACGATTATAAAACGGAGAGGGTGGAGGTGTAATAACACATCGCTTTTGAGGGCAAACTTGCTTCGGAAGGCTAGGATTTGAGTGAAGTGTTCAATTTGTGCTTTCTTCAGAGAACACATAGTCAACATTACAGTTCATAGACTCTAGCGTCAAAACAAGTCAATCATAGTATCTCAAATAGCTTTCAATTCAGTAATGAAAATGTACTTTTCAAAAGTTATTTTGCAGAAGAAAAATTTCCCCAACAAAACAAATAAAAATCAGATCTAAACACTTGCCGTTTTTTCTCGATCAATTACCTCAATATTAATGAAAATGTTTCACCACTTCCTCCACACCACAGTCACTGTTACGATCACATACTAGAGGATATCGATAGAGGTCAAACAACTAGAATAAGAAAGCTAAAGAGAGAAGAGATCCCTAAGGGATCTCGATATCTCTTATATAGTAACAATCGCTTAGTTCAAGCTAGTCTTGAACTAAGGTATGCATGATGAGTAATCACAATGTCATGTGTTATTCGTCACAGTCACAGAAATTTGACTTACACTTCCTTTTTACTCTACTGGGTCCTGCATCAGCATTCAAATACATATACCCTACCCAAGCCCCACCTCAGCTACACCCCAACTGATCAACTCATACCCTCTTCAAAGTACCGCTCAATTTTATCAACGTTCTTCCTGAATTAAAGACTATAGAACGACCAGGCCAACCCTAAGATGTGACTTTTGATTTAAACTTTAGAATAAACCATTTGAAAAAGGGAAAAACAACCCTAGGGATCAATATGATCTTATAAAAAAAATTCTATAACAAGAAAATATAACACTTTAGAGAGTATACAAGAATTTTTCTTAAATTCCTTTGTTTCCTTTATAATTGTTCATATGTTTATTTCTATCATCACTTCTTTCTTTTATACTACTTTCTCTTTATCTCTTAATAAATAACTTTTAATTTATAAACTATAAATTCAAGAGTAAATAAAATCTTGAAAATATCTAACATGGTTTATCAGTACATACACCATTATTTTTACATATAAAAAACGACTATACATAACCATACACTTTCTTTATTTATTAATATAATTTAATTTTTCCTTATATATATTATATTTATCTATATAAATAATATAAAAATGAATTAAAATAATAAAATCTTATAATAATAAAAAAGTTATTCAAAGAAATAAATTTTTGTAACACAAAATGTAACATTCTTAAACTACAATTAAAATATCTATAAAAAGATCAAATTTTATAAATATTTCATTTTTATTATTTATAAGAAAACTTTTTTAGAGAAAAAATAATGATTAATAATTTAAATAAGAATATTAATAAAAGATTAATTTTAATGTATTTTAAAATGGTACATATATTGATATGGTGTATATACTGATAAACTACGTTAATATATTTTTGATTAAATAATTATTAAATTTCTACTATATAGAAATCTTCTAAATCTTAGAATACTTTTTCTAAAGAATTTTATTTTCAATTAATTATATATTACGTAGGAAATATAATACTTTGTCTTAGAAGAACTATAAGAGTAGAGTATAATTTATTCTTAGAATTTATAATTATAAAATCAAAAGAAAAATATTATTAAGTGTTTTTATATATTAATTATATATATATAGATATATAGATATATAGATATATATATGAGTAATTATAATTGTAATTGTATGTAATTTTTAATATTATTATATCTTTTTTAAAAAAGTTTATTTTTAAGCATTATAACTGTTTATTTAATTTATATATCAATAACCCTGATAAGATATTATTATTAATTTAGTCAAATAGTATAATAAATAAGTTTGTATATAAGTTTTTCTTTTTCTTGTAATAAAAAGATATAAAAAAAATAATGAAAATCATTTTATAGTTTAATAATATTATAAATTTTTCAAAGTATATAATTCTTTCAATTCTTTTATTCTTTTTAAAATCTCTTTAATTATTTTAATTCCTTTTATTTTTTATTATTAATATATTTTTAATATTTTTGAAAACTTATAATAATAAAAGTAAATCACTATCTACATAATTAAAATAATAATAGAAAATATATATAATAATAGATTATTTATCATATTCTTTATATTTTTGTTATTAATAAATCTTTTTAATAATTTGCAATAAAATGAAGGGTTATATTTTCTATTTTATAGGGTAAGTATTTTTCAATTTCATAATAATAAAGATTGTAAATAACTATATAAAAACTAAGAGTTTGAGTATATTAAAAATAATTATATTTTAGTATTTTATAATTAATAGTTGTATAAAAAGATAATAAAATTTAAAAAGAAAAAAGAAATCGAAAATAATATATATAATAAATAAAGCTATATTAAATATAAATGAATAAAGAGTATTATATTTATATGTAGTTTTATAGTATAGTATAACAAATAATAAGCTTTTTTTAATAATAATGGATAATCATATCAAGTTGTAATACAATTTATACTTTATATTATAAAAGAATTAATAAAGGAGGATTGTAAGTATTAAATAAGAACAATGATTTTAAACCTTATACTAACACTTCAATATATAAGGACTTATAAAAGTAGGGAGTGTATAAAGAATGTAGGGTTTTAGGGGAATCTCAATCAAGATTGAAGATTATGTTTATATAATATATCATATGATATAATGAAAAACCAAACTTCTTTAGATCTAATAAGAGCTTTATAGATACCCAAAATCCCTATATATACTACTCTTCGAATAGTAGGTAATAGGAATAACAAATACAATTCAATTCTTCTTATAATACTATGTGATTCACCTTATATTTAAAACTATTTTCAAATTATTAATATTCAAACAATATATAATATATCTTAAGAATAATATTATATAGTATAATAGAATAATATAAAGAAAAGAATTATATTCAATTAGTTTATATATAGATTATAACATTAAAGCTATAATAAGCTAAAGATAATCAATATATTAGAAGATAATTTAATAACAAAAAATAATCAGGTTTTATAATATAATTCTATAATTATATCTATACTAAAATATTTAATAATAATATCTATAACTTTGCTATCTATTAAGCAAAGTTCTTTTCAATAGAGTAGAGTTTAAATATATCTTTTATAATTAATAATAAAAGACCAATCTATAAATACTTTTTTAGAATATCCACTATAAATTAAATTAATTGTATTAAAAGAAGATTTATATATTAAAAATATAATAATTTTAATAAATAAAGATTTACTATTTATAATATTAAATTATAAAGGTTTTTTTTACTAATTACATGTTACGACGGGTAACATTGGATCACGTGACGAGTGTCATGTGACAGGACGTTGGAGCCTTTGGAGCTTAGGATCCAAGGGATCCAAGTAGAACAGAACCATGGGTTTCGTAGAGCAGGAAGGTCTATATAAAGGAATGAGTTTCATTATAATGTAGAGCTTCGTGCTCAAGATCAATCATTAGTTTCATACTATAGTTACGAGAATTGCAACCAGTTACAACCTTATTGAATTCCTACTTGAAGTCTAGTCTAAACCACCTCGAGAGATCTCTAGCCACTTCCACGTGACCCTAGAGGCAGCTCCCGTAACAATAGGGTTTCTTTATATATAGAGCTTCGTACTTAAGAACAATTATTAGTTTTATTATTATAGTTACGAGAATTATAATTAGTTATAACCTTATTGAATTCCTACTTGAAGTTTAGATTAAACCATTTCGAAAGAATTTTAGACACTTCTACATGACCCTAGAGGCAGCTCCCGTAACATAACCGTTATAAAAAGCGTTTAATTTATTTGACTTTTATAATACTAGCTTTAATATTAGAGTATATATAAAAGATTGAACTTAAATTCTATTAAGAGCTTTAAAGCTTATATAATTAATATGAAAGAAAATATATTGAGTATAGGAGAATCTATATTAATAAATTATTTTAATGTTAAAAGCTTTTATAGTATAATAATATCATTATTGATTTGAATGAAAAAATGAAAGTGGAAATGTAATTTATAAATATTATATAATAAAATATAATTTAAAATAAAATTACTAAAATTAAAATTTAAAGAAAAGTAAAAAATGTGAAAATTATGAAAATAGTATATAATAGTAAATAGACTTCGCCTGTAAGCTTCTAATAAATTACTTTCAAATTTTTTATAATAATACAAATCATTATATTACGCTTTCTCAAAAAGCAAGGGGTCCGAGGGCTCGTAGGCCGCTAGTATTATAGAAGAAAGTTTGTATTATATATAGTCTAATATTTACTCGGGATTGATTAGAATATATAATTAGTTTTGATTATATTGAAATATACTTATTGTTACAACGGATTAGTAACAGGCTGTATGTTACGAACAACGCAACATAGGCACGGGACTGGGCACTAAGTCACGTGGTTGGCTCAGTCTGCCTCAGCGGGATAGACACTGAGCCATGAAAGTACAAACAAACTAGTACTAAGCTATACTGATCATATTAAACAAGAAGGTCTTGTTACGACAGACATCACATGACACATTCGCGTGTCACGTGAGGGAGCCTTGGGGAGCTACGGGCTCCAGGAGCATACGGATCCCAGGGGCTCCAGAGGACGAAGGTCTATATAACAGAATGAGTTTCATTATAATATGGAGCTTCGTGCTCAAGAACAATCATTAGTTCCATTACTATAGTTACGAGAATTGCAACCAGTTACCAACCTTATTGAATTCCTACTTGAAGTTTAGTCTAAACCACCTCGAGAGATCTCTAGCCACTTCCACGTGACCCTAGAGGCAGCTCCCGTAACAGGTCTATATAAAGGAATAGATTTCATTATAATATAAAGCTTTATGCTTAAGAACAATCATTAGTTTTATTATTATAATTACGAGAATTATAATTAATTACAATCTTATTGAATTCCTATTTGAAGTCTAATTTAAATCATTTTAAGAGATCTCTAAACACTTTCACGTAACCCTAGAGGCAGCTCCCGTAACACTGTAGAATCACTGACTTATAGGCTATAATAGTATTATAGGCCTCAGTAATTCAGCTGCAGTATACCGAGGGGTACTAGGCATCTAAGAGACGCCTTAGGCATGTATATAGTATTAGTCATAGAATACCCTAAAAACCTAGAATATAGTTCCTAGGACAGTAGGTCCTAGGAAAGACAGAATATAGTAAGCAAAAAGGCTTCACTAGGATTAATAATGTCCTAGGGGATTAAGCCCCAAGACAAAAGGATAAGTTAGAATAATAGGAATTATGGGATAAATGTTATATGATCAAAAGCTAAATGACTTATTGATCGACTTATCGATCGACTTGCTGATCGACTTTAGTACAAAGGTCTATATAGGAAATAGATTTCATTATAATATAGAACTTTATGCTCAAAAACAATTATTAATTTTATTATTATAGTTACAAGAATTGTAATTAGTTATAACCTTATTGAATTTCTATTTGAAGTTTAGTTTAAATTACTTTAAAAGAACTCTAGACATTTCCATATGATTCTAGAGGCAGCTCCCGTAACACTTATTAAATTCTTATTAAGTGGTTTAGAATCTATTCGATATATTTATAAGGTGTACGGAAAACTAGAATTCAAGAGATGTTATATAGAATTCTATAAAGGACTAAAAGGAATCCGGAGGATTCCTAAACTAATATAGAATAGTAATTAGCATCACGTGATCTGGGAGCGTCGCTCCTTCATAATATCAGGGAAGAACATTATTAGTTTCATTATTTGATTTAGAATCATTCTAAATTTAACTCGTATTAGATTCAATCTCTTTCTAATAAAAGTTATAAAGCTTTTTGAAAAAAAATTATATAATTAATTTTCAACTTCTTTTCAAGTAGTCAACTAACTTCATTTCTTTAATTCTTATTTTACGAGACTATACATTCTCCAAACAACCCCCTCTCCCAACCTTCCACATCACTCTCTTTTATGTCATCTTTCCATAAAGCTCCCACTCCCACTCCATTTACAATACAACCCCTCAACCATTCTCCTCCACAATCAAGATCATCACAGTTCAATACCTCAACCCCACTCTCAACTAATATCCTCCACCATTCCTCGTTGTCAGGAGTACCCCAATATCTAGGTATCAACCCTCTTTCTTTCACTTCTCTACATTCATTCCTTATGATTTTCACTTGCTCCTTTGACGGTCCTTTGGATTTCGAAAATCGACCAATAGAGTTAGAAATGTTACCTGACACATATAATGAATTACATGGATTTTGGGAAGACATGAAATTGAAAAATCGAGCATCTTTGAATATAAATATGCTTTCATAATCGCAGATTAATTCGAAGTCGGCATCGCCAGTTCCGACGATGGTTATGGGACCAGGAATCAGCTTCTCAGTGATCGAGTTATAACAGGTCAGAAAGCCTGCAGTTCGAAGAGGTTCGAGAAGGGCATATAGAATAGATATTCCATCGTACCCAGACGAGATACTTTTATAATCAATTGTTAAATGTAACGATAGGTATGGATTTTCATTCCAAACTCCTACTTTCTTTTCTGGATTTCCTGCAGCTTTGTTCTGTTGTATCAAAATCTCTAGAAGTGGATCTAAATAAAGACTCGAGAGTGTTCTTGCAGGATTAAGCTCCGAAGTTACATGACCTACGAGAAGATCATTTTCGGGGACTTTGATTTTTGGCGAAGATATGAAATATGAGAATAAAGAGCCGAGAAAGCTAAAGGACCTGTAGTAGGAAGGAATGAAGCAATCCGCTTCGATTGCTATACAGCCAGCTGCAAGGGCAGTATATAGAGGGATTTTTTGATGTTCGTCGTTATGAGACCAACAATTGATCGGGATTATTGATGTGGTGAAGTTGGGTTGCCAATAAGCATTAGGGGTGGGGGTGGTTCCAGTGGCGATAATCTTTCGAATACCACATTCAGTATTTGACTGATTGTGTGGAAGAGGAGCCATACTTGATGCTTGGTTTGATTGAAGTGGAAACTAGTAAATTGTATGAGCATTGGAAGAAAGATTTTCGAGGCGGAATACGGAAGGGTTATTTTACCCTTCGATAATGTTTGAGATTTGTCGAAATCTGAATAAATGAATAGTTGAAGATTGAACCGCTCCAAATCAATTCGAAAATTATATGTTGTTTTCCTCCTCCAAGGAAAATATATTGGAAATTCTAAACGAGATGAGGAATCGAAATGAGAGACTTCTCATCTAAACAAATCATTAACTCTTATAATCAACCGGCCGGTTTATAAAGTCGGTCAGTATATGCATTGAAAATTGCCTTGACCTAAGTTATTAATAAACACAATTTCATTCCCTGTAAAAGAGAACGCGGAATAAAGAGTCCAAACATACTCGTGCGGCTATGAAGTATGTGACTCTTGCCTTAATAGGATTAAGCCGTTATAAAGAGGCTTTCTAGAGCTTGAAAGAAACATAAATCATTGAAATTTATGCTGAAAGTAGTAGTACTTTGATATAAGCGAGCCATTCGATCGATTGATATTTCCAAATCTCTTCGTGTTTAATATAATGGGCAATAGAATCCACTGCTTTTTTCAATCCCTCTCAAGGCCGATATAGCGTATTTAGCGCCGGGATTGCATACTTTCTGCCGCACAAGTGGAAATATACCGCAAAGCACACAATACTTATGGGTACCATGTGGCTTTAGTTACACTAGAAAACAACAGTTCCATTAGTTAATCGCCTTCCGGCAATTCCGTGACTGCTTCATGTCCATGGAAATCAGGGTCGCATACGCTAGAAAAGAAATAGCGTTCTGGAAAATTTCTAGCTCAGGGGAATGATGATTTCAGCGGTTCCATCACCGTGGTCGTGGATCGGGATCCGAGTCCAATTGAGAGCCGCCTCATACGCAGTCGAGAGCGGCAAGAGAGGCAGAAACTATGATGCAAGGTACGAAAACTCGTGTACGATGAAATAGCTGACCTAGCTCTTCAAGCGAACGACTATTGGTCATTTTTCATTCTCTTTGGTTTCTTCCTTAGGTCCCACTATACAGCGATCGATTTCACCGTCTTTTGTGACCGAAGTTCCGTGCGAATAAATTTCGTGATCGTTGGAAAAAGTGGAGAATTAAAGTTGTCTACGAAGAGTGTGTCGGTGATGTCTTGGTTAGAATGGGAGGGGCAAACCTTAAAAGAAAATATGGGGTCTGGGGAATAGGAGGCTGGGGAGGGTGCTTGGAGAAACTTATCTTCTGCTGGAAAGCTATATTCTTGAGGATAAACACGAAAAAAAATTGTATATTAAAAAGTCATTACAAAAAAATCATCAAAAAGAAGCAGGAAACGATTCTCGCGGGGAAAGACTGGCTTATTTTGAACATGATTGGATGTACAGAAGATTGTCGCCGATATATATATTGTGCTATATCCAAACAAAAAGTTCAAAATCCAGTCTGGACGGCATGATGTTTTACACAACCACTTCATTCCATATCCGGAACTATTTCAATAAATTGCATTATATTCCAGTGTAAATCGTGATCTCAATATTCATCAGGCCCAGAAAATCGTTATTAACAATGTGACTCCGTTGTCATCAAGCTTCATAGATTCGTAATGCAATAGCCGCATTCAACGTCTCCAATTTGACACTACTCCCGTCCTCATCCCTCTCGACTCCCTTCCTAGCTTTGATATTCTTGTATCCCCATCCATCATGCCTCTCAACAATACCTATTCCCTTCCCTTCCAATTCTATTCTTCCCGAGATAGTTTTCGCTTCAATGTTGCCAATCCAAGTTGAGGGATAGTATGCTTCGATACTTCCAGAGGAGGTTTTATGTGTCGAGTGAACAGTGCGGAGTTTACTCTTGTACGCCTGGAAAGAAGAGGATCTCGATGAGTCAATGACGGTGGGAGTATATGGAGAGTCGTGACTATTCGGTGTGGATTCAATCGCACTATTGCGAACGTTGCCGTTGATGGAGAATAAAGTAAACCAAGGATCCAGTAATGTGACATGTGTAGTTCCACTCACTGAATGAGTATAGAATTCGTTCCGACTTTCATCATCGCTATCATCAGAAGTTGCCGATAAAACGGGTCTCACCACAAGTTGAATTCTACTAGAAGCGGTGTCAAAAGTCCCCGTAGATCCAACAAAAAAATCGCCTTCAATGGCCCCAGAAAGAGATTTTACATGTGTGATGTATTCCCGAAGACAAGTGGCCTTGGGGTAATTGACAGGTGACGATACTTCGATTCTACCGGAGGATGTATGAATATTCAAGGTAGCGGGAGCAGGTGCCGACTCAAGAGCGGGCTTAGGTTTCACCTCGATTCCTATGGTTCCAGATTGAGAAGATATTTTGAGAAGGTCATACAGGGGATATGTGCCTTCAATTCTGCCTGACACAGTTTCGACGACGATATGACGAGAATCAAAATCGAAGTTTGCTTTTAATTCATTTTTGGTTGGGAGGGAAATACGACTCATTGAAGACGTTGAGTCGTTTGGGAACTTAACATGGCCTGATACTGTTTTTAAAGTGGCGTCTTTGACAATTGTGACATTGACGTCGTCAAAGATTCGGATCGATAAAGTTACCAGGTCAAAAAATACGTTGAAGATTTCCGCATCCTCTGGTATCCAAGCCGTAATCTCAAGTGAGATACAAGGGTTGTCATGTATACCTGGGTTGGCAAATCTCGGCGTGCTGATCTTCAATGACCCATCAAGCTCGTTCAAAGTCTTCAGCACAGACAACTCCGGATGGCTAAGTTTGACTTCAACTGTAAAATGTGCTCTCCCTCCATTTGAGTTTCTTGGTAGATTTCGAATACGAACTTCTCCCGCTGTTTTGACCTGCGTTCCGTAATGAAGAGAGTCTTGTTGGTAGAACTCTTGTATCACTACAAGTCCAGCGGCATCAATGATATCAAAACTGGTTTGCTCCGATTTGGTAACATGTTGACAGTATGAGCCACCATCGTGGATGGGGTCGGGAAATATAGGCCCTCCTCCCATATTTGAATCTGGATTCTTGTATACTGATCAGCTTTAGGACTGAATGTTCTATCTAGATGATAAAGAAGTACAAATGTAAAGCTATGAATAAATGTGTGTGGCGCGTAAGTTAGTCTCGATCTGCTGGAAGGGTAAACCCACTGATTTTCCTGTGAGAATTGCACCTAATATAACGGCAGCAATGATTAGAGCCAATCCCAGTCCAAGAGCTTTTGTTATAATCTCTCGTTGAAAGGAAATCTTCTTGGGTGTTCGGCCAAGCCAAAGAGGTGTTTCTTCATTGACTTCCGGATAATCTGCTGGCCCTCCCATACTCTGGAGTTCTCTTGGTAGACCTTCTTCGAGGCGATGTTGTGAGAAAGTATTGTAGCGTATGGAAGTATGTCGTCCTTGTGCCGAGACAGGAGAAGACTCTGCGGATGCTATATAAGCTAGGGGCGGTTGATCAAAGAAGGGTTGATGTTCAGGGAAGGAATTCTCTCCTCTGCGAGATGGCGAAGCATGAAGCGAATCAGACGGAGTTCGAGGATGTCGGAGATATCCAGTTACATGAGATGACGCATTGGTGTGCAACGACATCTGCAGAGCTAAAGGGGTATCACGGTCTCTTGGAAAATCTCCCTTGGCGTCTTGAGCTTTTGATATATCCTCCGTTTGTGAGAGTGTGGGATCTGGTGATATATTTTGAGGAATTTGATTCGAATTGAAATAACCATCGGTTGGACTGAGCTCATTACTATCATCTTCGTTCCAATTGTTTCCTGGATTGTTTTCCGAATTGAACAGATCATCGGAGTAAGACATCGCTGCCGCGAATAATCAACGCCAATGTTAAGATTGGGAGTGGAAACTCGTAAGAGAAGACTCGACTGAACAGATCAATCCACTTGAATGTGTGCGATATCTGGCCTAAGCGCAAATAAAAAGAGATGGAAAATCAGGGAGATGCAATGTGTGTCGTCGTATTCAAGTGCGTAAGCAAGATAGAAAACACAACCTTCCATATCATTTCAGATTCATTTGATTGTAGAATGAGCCTTGACGCGTAAGGACCATAGGCAACAGTCAAAGGTCGACAGTTATGTGCATGATTCCAAGCAAATATATATCCAATAATGAAGGTAATTGCTCTGGGGATACGCGTCAAGTTGGATGAAACAATTTATTCTAGAGAGGATAGAAAATCAATTGGACAGCCATGAGTTGGATGATGCAATTTTGCAGAGCATTCCGGATAAGTACATACATACCTAGATGACGGAATCTTGATATCAAATTGATATGATATGATAGACACAAAATATATCTAGAAAAGGAAGGTAACCATCGAGTGGGGACATGACTCAGCAATCATATAATTATCTACTCTACACCACGAGAAATGCCAGCAACCACTTCACGACACATCTTTCGACAGATCACAAAGTTATTCTCTCCAAGGTTTTAGTAAGAGTTTGAAACTTGTATCTAAACGTTTATCACGAAGTCGTGTCGGCGCATTTCCTTCGAGCCATGCAAAGTTTAAGAAGATGTTCGGGGTTACTAGCCAAGATACTGCACTTTTCTCGGGGTTCTTCAAATCAATTATACCATCACGACCTACGCTAGGAATAGTGGGAAATGGAATAGATCGAGTAGTGACCTGTTTCTTCTTACAAAAATCCGATGGAGGTGCTATGGTGAGAGATAAATTCGTTCAATGGATGTTGGTGGGTTGGTGGCGATCTTTAGGTTGTGATAGTGTAATGTCCACCTTTTACTCTATAGGGGATTTCACATATCAATAGCCAATCTGTGCAAGACCACATTTGTTCTAGCCCTATGGCTCCTGGCGAGATGTCAGTCGTTTTCAATGGCTAGATAGCTTTGAATTGACATCACTTCCGCCGTTCGCTTTTCCTATCAATCATCAAACGGTCGCAAAATTCAGCAAGTATGCTTCGATCACTTGACTCAGAAGGGGTCTGGAAAGGTTTCGCAAATTCCTCAACATCCCTGTCGAACAGCGTCTAAGTTATATATCCGGCTTCTTTTACGTCAGATTCGTACCTCTTCCTATCACATACGTCTGCTCTGACAAACGAATAAAATGCAAGGTTATCAAATTTCTTCTGCTACACTTATATTAGTGCTGACAAGGCTACTGTAGTCAATTTACTTATCGTAGCATTACCCGAGACCGGGCGCAACAATGGGTTAGTGCTCTACACATATCAATTATATCGGTTCTACCCCATCCTTAGTATCGCAAACCGATATTGTACTTCACACGGGTCTTGGGCTGACATGAAAATTCCAAAATAGATTGCCACGACATCTACAGAGCCTTGAAGTGTGGACAAGCTTAATCATTCTATTCAAAGTGGGATACTTGCCCCCTTGTCGCTGGCCAACAACGGGGGAGCATAGACCATGGTGCCAATCACATAAGAGATTTCATTCCTCACGCCGCAAAGAGTTAATTACGCTTAATTAAGCCATGTGCAAGATTAATCCTCCTCAGAACACAGCCCTGCATTGTCAGCCGCAGAATATATCTCCACTCTTATTTTGTAACAATGAACTTTATATATCAGTTCTACATACCAATTGACAAAGTTCGCGAGGTAACGACTGTCTCTACTATATTTTTTTTCCATTGCCTTTGCTAAAGCATCATGCGGGCTTTTCAGTGTGTTAGGGTGTCACTTTTCCTTTATTTCAGTTTGAGTGTGAATGCTAGTCCGACTCCTACACTTGGAACGACACAGACCCTAAGCGCTAGAAACTCGGCTTCAACTGCGTGCGGTGACATCGTCAATAACGAAGGTGTGAATGAAAAATGCAAGATCCTTGATTCTTGTACTGATGAAATGATAGATACCGTATTATTCAATGCGACTTTGGCATTTGAGTGCCTCACCAGTGTGCCATTCAATCCTGCTGTCGCCTCTCGTTTTATCTCTTACTATAATGATACGCTACAGTTCCAGAGTACATTGAAATATCTCAAAAGCCCACCTCCAAGCTATCAACAACCAGCTGTGGATCTCATAGCAGGCCTGAATCGAATTCAAAGCGCGATCGATGAAGGCATATTTTCAAATCAGTACGAATTTGAGGCTACTTTACAGACTCTAGTATACGCCGCACACGATGGACATGTCGACATACTAGCGGGAGCTTTGTCTGCCTTTAGTTTTGCAAGTCCAAGAGATTTAGTATCACTATCATTAGATGGCCAACAAATTCCAAAGGTCTATCTAGCCGACGACCTTTTTGACAGCGACTATTTTACAACTTTCCAGCCTTCAGCTATCAAATCAATCAATGGCAGAGATGCAACTACGTATCTTTTGGATTTCGCATCCGTAAACTCAGTTGGCACTCTTGAAGATCATTCAGATTGGAATCAATTGATGCTTAGTGCAGCTCAAGATATCCAAGGTTATTTCAATTCATTCAGTGGCGGCGCGACATTCTACCCCGGAGATAATATTACTTTCCTTTTGGAAAATGGAACATCTTGGACTGAGAATTATCTTGCTATCTACGATACTCCTGGTCCTACCGGCCCTCTTCAAACTGGAGGAGACTTTTATAATTTTTTCGTTTTAGGGTTCTATCCTGCATCATATGATCCGTACACCGATGAATCGAATGACAATTCGGAAGACAGTTCTATTGATGATTCATCTACTGCAGTCACTTCGACGGCATCCGCTACTCCAACTCCAACCGGGTGGGATAGTCCAGCTTACCCAGAGATTCCTGATGTTGCCCAAGAAGACCTTGGAACTTACGGAGATGGAATTGTTTCTGGTATGTTGTTTGTTGATTGAGAAGTTTTCAACACAATTTTTCTTTGTATGACTTGTTTATTCGGTTTCTAATAAAGAAACAGGATATTTTCTCAATTCTACTTCTGTTTCTGTCTTAAGTATTCCAAGCTTTGATGTCGACGGGGATGCTGTCTTTAGTTTCCAGCAAACGATTTCTCGATTCATCGATCAAACACAGGCCGCCGGCTTAAGAAAGATAGTTATTGATCTGCAACAAAATTATGGCGGACAATCTTTACTTGCAATCGATACATTCAAACAATTCTTCCCGGATATCGATCCTTTGGCTGGTTCCCGTATGCGAGCCCATGCTTCTGCCGATGTACTTGGCAAAACTTTGACTCCATACTGGGATGATCTGGCCGAGGACGATGAGACCAAGTATGCCTTAGCAGCTGACGAATGGGTTATCACTAATCGGATCAATGCGGATACGAATCGCAATTTCACAAACTGGCAGGAATTTTTTGGGCCTAATCAATACAATGACGATAATTTCACCAATATTGTAGGTTTTCGTCATCCTTGATTACTATCACCTGATACCTAGGTATCTTGGGTTCACGTTTAATTAATATCAATAGGCACGATACAATCTGTCTAATCCTATTTTTGACGCATCTGGTACTGGTCTAGATGTCAGCGACGATGCTTTTGCAGTGTACGGCTATTATGCAAATCCGGCACCATCGGGGGCTAAGCCACCATTTGCAGCAAAGGATATAATCATTGTAAGTCATCTTCCTGCACCATTTGGTTTTCGTATTCTAATAGCTGCAGCTTTCTGACGGTATATGTCACTCTTCTTGTGCTCTTTTGATCGAGATGTTCCGCCACGAAGCTGGAGTTCGCGTTGTTGCAGTAGGAGGCACACCAACAACAGGACCAATGCAGGCTCCTGCTGGATCTCGTGGCGCACGTGACTACGATACCTTTACTCTTGACGCTAACATCGATTTTACTCAAAAACTTTTGCAAAACCAAAGCTCAGTCGATGCGACATTTCTTCCGAATAGAACTGAACAACTCAGCATGTTTGTCTACTTTGCGGATATAAACCTTCGTGATCAAGTACGGAAAGATGAAGAGATTCCATTGCAATTCGCCTATGAAGCCGCAGATTGTCGGATCTACTATACGCCACAAACCGTGTATAATTACACAAATCTCTGGCAATACGCAGCCGATGCCATCTGGAAGAACTCTAGCCTATGCGTTGAGGATTCCACTGGATATTCATCAACTTCACAAAATTCAACGAAGTTCGTCGGCCCATCCGGTGGTAGTGAAAAGATCTCTACCAATATCACCGAATATCTTGCTTCATTAACGACCTCTCCCATTGCAAACTTCATTCTCCAGGGTCTCAACGACGGTCTTCCAGCTGTCAACGAAGGTAGCTCTCGCAATGCTCCTGCATCTGCCAAAGTTATCAAATGTACCACAGATGACGACTGCTTAAACGGCAAACTTTGCGTGAATATTCCATCTTGTTCTGGGGGTAAAGCTATATCTCAGTGCTTGAGAAAATGTCCGGCGGCCGGTCGACTATGCCCTAGTACCAAGACGAAATGCACACGGCATAGCACAGATGGAAAACTGGGAAATCAAAAGATTCCTAAGAACGTTTGTCCTCCAGCAGGAAGTGCAGCAAAGTGTGAGAGTCAAAGCCAGTTGAAAACTGTTAACCTCAATCAATGTGCTGACTGTTAGTAAATAATTGGGTCAATGATGGAAATAATGATGGCTAGGGATCAATATCAAGGAGTTTACGGTGGAATAATCTAGGTTCTATGGTCTCTCAACTTGAGTTTTGTATTTATGGTATCTTTATTGCTTGTGTCGAGCAATGTTGTTCAAAAGTTCTTTCTGAGTGGAGTACCACGGAAAACATTGATTGCATTTGACTAGAATAATTCCCGAATTTCGAGTTCCACCGTGATCAACAAGGCAAGCAGATCTTGCCAGATATCACGAGGATGAAGTCAGAAGTCAGTCATATTCTACCCAACGGTTAATTATAGAATTTCATTTCTTGGCTGTGGGGCAAAGGGCTGACAATATCCCATTTTTCTGCATGTCAGCAACCGCCCCCATTGTGGATATATCCTTCAGCTTCTAGACCGCTTAGCCCATCAGCTCCTATATATCTTATGTCGCCAGCCTTTTTTCATATAAACGATCTTTTAATCTGTTCGTCTGATCAAATCCTCTATTCATCCCACATACCAATCTCTTTTCTCATTCACCTTATTAAGCAATGGGATCTGCTGAAGGCAAAATATACCCTTCTGTTCTTCCTTCCCCTTTCATCCGTCTTTTAAGTCTGGATTCTGGTTCTGATGAACCAGTTAGGGTAACACTACATGAGGTAAATCTCAAGAACGCACCCGCATGGGATTGTCTCTCATACACTTGGTCAGACCCACTATACCATGCTCTCAGTCCGGAAGAGGAAATTCATCGTAGCAATGATAAACGCGAGCATTCTATCCTCTGCAATGGTCAGAACTTGTTAATTACGGAAAGCTTATTATTAGCACTGAAGGAATTCAGTAATGACAATATTGAAGATCACAGCAAGAGTGGGAAAGTTGGGAATTTCAAGAGAGAGAAATTCATGTGGATAGATGGCATATGCATTAATCAAGACAGCATCGAGGAGAGAAATATACAAGTTGGAATGATGGGAGAAATCTACACGAATTGTTCGCAAGTAATTATCTGGCTTGGAGTTTCAGATTTTCATTCGCCGTATGCCATTGAAGTCATAAATCTTCTATCGAAAATACCCTCGGAAAACTATACTAGCTTACGTATTACTGATCTTGAGGATTGGGAAATATATCCACAATTGGGTATCGAAGAAATTGAAATTTGGAAATGGTTGGAATATGCAGCATTTTTACAACGTACTTGGTTTAGTCGCATATGGGTTGTTCAAGAAGCATTTCTGCCGAGGGATATTGTTGTAGCTTGTGGGAGTGATGTTATTGCATGGGAAGATATAACAGCTTGTGCGAAAGTACTAAGAGAAACAGGATTGGGAACGTTATTGATGAAGCTGTTGATTGAAACTGTGGACGATATTGAAGGGACTGTTTACGTGAACAATACTTTGAACAACCAGTCAATCTTCCAAAGTATGAGGGATATGGCTACACTTGGATCGGAGGAAATGGGCAAAGTCTTGGATTTGGAAAAGCTGTTGTATTATTCAAGATTTTTCGATGCGACAAATCCAAAAGATAAGATCTATGCAATCAGAGGCATCTGGGAAAGAGGAGGAAAGACGATCCCATCGGACATGACGCCCGATTATCAACAAGATCCAACGGTAGCAAGTGTGTATACGAGAGCAACACTTGAAGTAATTTTCGAAACCAAAGATTTGAATATTCTTTCTTTAGTGGAAGATTACAGCTTGGCAACTCAAAATCCCAACTCGGTCCGGGCCATTGGAAATCTTCCTTCTTGGGTACCCGATTTTAACTCGTCTTCTAATCCTCAACCTTTGGCTGGAAATCCTAGACCACAACCAGGAAGTGAGAGATGGAATGCAGCTCGAGGTATTCCATTTGAAGTGCCAATTTTACCACCGTTAGATTCACGACATCTTCTTCCAATCACAGGTTATAAATTTGATATTATCTCAGAGTCTGCAGCCAATCAAGCAGAAATCATGGGTAACGATTTCGCATTTGACACGGTGCTGGAACTCTTGGCAAATTATCCAAGTCAAAAATACCCTCATATTGACGATGACACTGAGACATATTTCGAGGGATTCTGGCGAACCCTCATCAAAGATACGTTCCGAAAGTTGCCGGCAAGAGAGAACGCACGAAACGCTTTCCGATATTTTATCACAGTGCGTGTCTCTGAGTTGAACATTGCATACAACTACGCGCTTTCAAAGCAGACCCCCGACCTACCCAAACTACGAAAAGCACACGAAAAGATCAAACAACTGATCAAGGACTTGTCTAAACATAGACTAAACAAATCTCTGATTCCTACCTGGGAAGATCTTGAAAAACTCATCGAGATAGCAGCTAATGAAGATTTAACTGATCCAAAGAAGGCGAAGCTTGACAGGGATTATGGGGATTTTTACGAGTCCTTTAGGATCGCGTATGCAGGAAGAAAAATGTTCGGGACGAGAAAGGGATATTGGGGTATTGCTGCACAAACATTGGATACCGACAATGTAGACGAAATTTGGGTTATAGCTGGGTTAAAGGTACCGATGGTTTTAAGACCAGTGAAGGGATGTAATGATGGAAATCGGCAGTTGATCGGAGAGGCTTACGTGCATGGTATTATGAATGGCGAGGCCTTGAAATTGTCAGGAGAGGGTTTAAAAAGCTTCTTTTTGCAATGAGGGAGGATTAAATGCGTTGAGTGCAGAGGAGTTGTCCAAGGTAAAACCGCACCGTGCAGTATCTCGTTAGGCCAACGTCTAAGATTTCTGATTGGGATCATACGGAAATGAAATAGCCAGATATGGGCTCGGAGGGATTTTAAAGTCATTTTGATTTGGTTGATTCGATTACGTTACATGTGGTTTTTGTACTCTAAACTTGGAGATATTCTCATGATTACATTTTTTGCTGTATCCTTTAGACAGATTGGAGGATATTTGCGTTTTGCAAAGTTCTTGACCAGATTCACTGTCTTCAACTTTCTTGACTTGGAGATTCACAGAGCTCACAAAACTGAATTTGCCAAGATGATATCTCCTCTCATAAATTTCCGTTCCTGATACTTATTTCAACAATACATCCCTCATCTCATGACCCCATTGAAAAGCTTCTCCATGCATAACTCCATGGAGATATACCTCTCCAACTAGTTCATAGGATTCACCTTCACTTCTTCGAAGGATGAAAGGAACTGAGGCACCCGCTAAAACCCAAACTTCGTCGAGCGGACGTAAAGATTGTGCTCCAATGCCGAGATAGCCTTTACGAGTTCGAAATAGAATGCGAGCATCATTTGCAGCTTCTGTCTCTTTCTCAAGACGCGAAAAATCCTCTTTGCCATATTTGAGGGTAGCTTCTCCGTGATACTGAGTCGTTGCATGGAATTTTTTGCCTGCGATCCATTGCGTACTCCGTTGCGGACCCATTCCTGATAGTGTGCTATGAGTTCCTCGCATTGTTGCGGTGCCGGATGTTCATTTTGATATGTATCTGCTAGAATAGTGCGCCATACGACTTCACGTGAAGGTTGAAATCTGTTGATTCAGAGGTTAGAAGTCTCATGAAGAAATCCTCGCCCCAAAAATCGAGAAACTTACTTGCCACCCATCGGAAGTGGGTATATAGGGTCAAGATGGGCTGCGACCTCATACATACCATCTAAGAATTCCATCGGATGTAAAGACTCATTCTGTTGTTTGACCCTTTCACAGACTATGTCAAGCAGCATACCTTGCAATATCAAGGAGTTAGGCTCAGTTTCCAAGAAATTTTGTTTCCACTTCAAATCACCACAAGCGCTCTAAGTACAGTCGCCGCGCATTGACAGAGGTAAAGGTCTTCGTGGGACACTATAATCTGGAACCCACGTCGGTAGATTGGGAATAGATGCTATCGAATCCTGAACATCAGACAGAATTTCTAAGCCATAGCATTGGAGCAAGACTCTGGCCAAATTTGTGTAAACATCTTGCGCCGCCATCTCGTAATCAACTGAAAGGACATCTGGGAACTTTGTGAATGGTAGACTACCTTTTCTCGATAAACCAAGTAGCGTGTAAACGATATCTCGTTTATCGGAAGCCTCACAATATCGATGCGCACGAAGAAGAGATTAAAATAAAGGAAGAAGTTGGGTAGATTCGCTCCCTGCTCGAATGGATTCTAGTTGTATAACTGCCATCTTGAAGCCTATTTCTGAATTCAATAGTATCTGATGCTTCTTGTGTCGCCAAACCCTTAAAGGATTTCCGGGAAACTTGATCAAACGATTGGTGTGAAGTTCTTCATACCATCCAATATGGGTTAAGAAGGACAATGCCTTCGAAATCATTTCCCAAGGAATGAATTCCTTGCCGCAAGCAACAATTACGTCAGTTCCTATTGTAACTTCTTGTACGGCCCAGATACCTGAGAATCAAGGTCTATTAAAGAAAGCTATGAGACTGAGCCATGATCGTAATTGCAAAGGTACAATGTTGAGCCTTTGGAAGTATTGTTCTTGACAATCCCAATCCAAGCTCACTAAATTTGACCACTCATCATGTGGTACCAAAGATAGTGTTTTGAGGGCTCTCAATGCATCAGAAGTGAAAGCATCCTTCCTCCCAAGTCCTATAATAACATTTCGAGCCTCTTTGAGGATTTCCGGCATCATTAGAATTTGGGCAGTTCGGTCCATGGCATCCTCTGGGTTGATGCACACCGAATCGATCCAAATATATCGCGTCTTCGTCTTCCCGGATGATTTTGAGGCAATTTTCCCTCCGATTTTGATGGAATACTTTGCATCCCCACAGATTCTCAATATTTTGTTATCACAAAGGATAATATGATTTCGTGGAACTAGATCCCGCCGCGAATGGGATACAACATCAAATTTTGGAGCCTCGGTGAGTTCCACTACATGGAAAGAGTATTTGGTACGACACCATGGCTTTGATTTTATCTCGAGAAGTCAAATGGACGTGGGTGACGGAAGGATCCTGTAGATAAATGGGTTGTCAGCCGCATATTTGCGTTTTGGAAATCCTATGAAGTCCATGTCTCTCAAGACCTCTCAGAGGGCATAGGGGAGGATAATAACTTTGGCAGATTGGTGTAGAATGCAAATATTTAGAAGCAGAGATGAGTCGAGTTTGTGGATGCATGTGGGAACTTATGAAAAGGAAAAAGCGAGATTAGATCTATTGATTCCGTTAACGCTGAAGGAAGGAGCTTCTCAGCCGGATCAACCCTGGTCCGAACACTCTTCTTCTCTATGTTGAATAACACAAGCCAGACAATCTCTAGAGTAATTTCTATGGAATTAGTTTTATCTCGAGAAGAAAAGAAATCAAAAGCATCGAACGTGAATGCGAAAAACTAGTCATGGAAAATCAGACAATCGAGACTCATCATGATCTGGACAATCTGGACAATCTTTAGATAGGTAGAAGATACGCTTGCAAGAAGTCATGACTTCTAATGAAAATTATAATGCCGATCTAGATTCGCTCTTCATTGACTTGCATAATTTTTCACTCCTTTCTCTTGACGTGGCTTAGTTAAATCATCATTGTGTGACATTGATAAGATCTATAATCTGCAATTACGGCCTATTTATCCACAAGAATTGCCTCTCAATGAACTGGAAACGATACTATTGGGATTTAAATAGTCACTTTGATGCCCTGTTTTCCCACAAGACCAGTCACAATGCACCTCTTATGAAAGTGCAAAATCCTGACAGGATAGTCATCGAGATGCGAGGTGTCGTTCATCATTCTCAGGCAATGACTTCAGTTCACTTCACTACTAGTATAATGTGTCTGGAACTTTCTCAAGAAGATATAGTTCGTCTGTCATTTGCTCTGCCACAAATACGTCCAATTTTCGAGTAGTTTCCTCCGAACACCAACCATTGTATCCGGCTCTCTCCAACAACATTCAGTACATCCATCTGAATCTATAGATATCATATCCCCCTCCTCCCTCTCCCTCGAAGTACTTGCTCAACACACATGTATGAAAACACCATCAGAAAAATTGAAGAATCATAAAAAAAATGTAACATCCTACAACAATATCATCTCACTGTGAAATTTCACTGGAAAAACAGACCTTCATATCTGATTTCTGAGTCCTCGCAACAGGAGAGGTATAGATGAAGCACTAGCCCTAGAGTTTCATTTCACTCCTTTATCTTCTCATCCTCTCATCTCAGATTCAAACAATAACCCGCACAAAGCAAAATCTCTATCAACATATCTTGCCACATCCGTGAAAACAAGATCTAAAGTTCTGCCCAGACATACCAGACAACCAAGATGTAGATAAACTACACAAACGCAAGTAGTAATACGTGTATGGAAGATCTCCTTCGATCCCAACATTTCGGATTCCTGCAGCAGATCGCAATCATGCATTTCCTGTTTCAGGTGCTGTTCACAGTATCAGGTGAAAACCCTGAATGTGGATGGATGGTAAGACATGATGGAAACAGAAGAGAGAAAATAAATTTGAACTTCTGGGGAGCTCCGTGCCACCAATGACTCACCCTTCGTCTCACCAGCAGTCCCCAACTCCGAGTTCTAAATTTGCCGATGTCGCTCAGTCCTCAATCAATTTCTCACCCATTCCCAACACCGTAAATCTTGTTTCTGCCAAGATCTTTTCAATAAGACCAAAAGAAAAAGTGCTCGCAAAATGATTTTTGCTCTAAATATTATACTTCATACATTATCAACTAACTACTACCTATTAACCTACACAATTTAATCTCCCTTCGCAAACTCTATTTCCCCTCCATCATTTTCTTCAGTTTCCTCGGATTCTATGCTCCCCGGGCAAGTCGCGCTCGCTAGAAGTCACTCAACTTTCCATTACTTCAATAAATATACACCAATGCAACAAATTTATACAGCTTCAACACTTTCTCAACCCATTACGGCACATGGTATCAATATCTTTCGCTTGCCCGAAAGCGCCTTCGAAAATCATAATCAACCTCGAATACATACAACGACAAAATTACCCTCCTACTCCTCATTTCTCATACACCAGTACATCCTACAATATCCTCTTCCAGCCCCCAACTCATCAACTACGCCTATACCCATATACCTTTCTCATATTCTCGACATTCCTCCGTGAGATCATGTGCGAAAACGCTGAAACGTTGGCAGATCAACCATCTCACAAATTGCACATCCTCAGCAAACTGACTCATTATCCCACCACACGAAAATAAAGATTAAAACAACCCAAGAAGAAAAGATAAAGGAAACAACTCAAGACTCCAAACAATCTGATGCCCAATCTGCACTAGATGGACCTCGTACAAAAATATAGCAAGAATACGAACCAAGAATCACAAACGCCAATATCTAAGCTTCGCCATAAGTCATAACATCACACCATTCCCTTTGCGAGTGCCAAAGTTAGGAGGCATATTTGTTTTCCACTCATCTCGAAACTTTCGAATGTGGGACTCTAGACTGGACGTTTACGAGTCAGGTCGAGTTTTATCTCGGCCTTTCAATCTCCGCCAACAATCTCACAAATCTACTGTGCAACTCGATGAAAAAATCAGGCAGTCCCACCAACTCAGCCAAGCCTCTTCCTTTCAAACTCGCACCAGCCATTCTACTATCCGGTCCTCTATTACCACCTCTTAAGAAAGATGAAGTAGGTGTAGTTGTTGTACCGCCACCTCCAAACGGACCATTGCTATTCCCATTACCATTTTTCTCATCACCAGGTCTAGGAGATTGGAGTGCCGATTCAGAACGAGCGAGTTCTTCATCAGCAAGGCGTGCGATCCAATCTGCGAGATCGCGGAAGGCAGCGTCGAGGAAGGAAAAGGTGCGCATGGCCATGCGTTCTTTTTGAGTGGAGAGAGCAATTAAAGCATAGACTCGACGACGACCACGAGCAGAGGGATCAGGAATGCGGAATATATATGCGGTGGTGTAGCCAGCCATTGGATCGCCAAAAAAGATTGGGCCGCCAGATGAGGTAGTTGTGGAAGATGTGAGGTGAGACGAGAAACTGGTGATAAAGGGGGACGAGGGTGTGGAATTAGGTGTGGGATTTGAGGATGGTGGCAGGGTTTCACAAGAGAGAGTACGAAGACAAGATTGCCGGATGATGGAGAAAGAAGTGGGCTGTAGAGGTTCATGCGTTGATGTATAGTCAACGAAGTGGTTATGCGAAAGGAATTCTCTGGTGGTATAGGTAGGAGAAGATGTGTCGGATCTTCTGACGGAGAGTCTCCGCGCCTGGTGCTGCTCTCCCCGTTCTTCTTTTTGAATTGCGCATTCCGAATCGTCTGAGTCTGAGGATGCAGACTTGGGAGGAGTACTCTGACCTGCAATGCGCTCATAAGGCTTCCTTGTTCGCAATATTGGACCATTATCGAGTTTGCCAGTTCCCGAAGGTTTAGGACTTGTGGGCATATCCTCCTTGGTCTTCTTAGGTAGAGTAAGAGCGCAATTCTCACATGGACCTGGCTTTTCACTTGGATATGTTTTGCGAAAGCTCGAATCGCGTCGCAGTTGGTTTGTTGTGTTTTGTGTATTTTGCAAAGTAGGTACTCTGGGACTTTGAGGAGGGGTTTCGCCCGCAGAGCCCGCTATATTTGGCGCATTCGAAGGACTTGGGTTTACATGAAGAGCTGGCCGATTCGCCACAACGTCTGGCTCGGAAACAATGGAATTCGTTCTATGTGAAGTATGCGCATTTGTATTTAGAGAAGGTTCCGAGGATTTGAACGATTTACTTGTACTAAGCCTCCGATGGGTGGATTCTTCTTTTTCTGGACACGAAGTACAACCTACTGGAAGTGCTTCTGTTACCATAACCGGGGTTGGACCATGAGTGTCGCAATAATGCGCGAGACATAACTATGGTAGAGAACACAGGGTCAGTACAAGGTCCCATGATTGCCTTATCGAACTCCCCCAAATATCCTAATTATCATTGCGAACCAGTCGCATATCG